CCACCAAGTGGTACCCAAGCGTCTACTTACATTTGCATGCTTTCAAACTGGCAGATGGGCAGGAACGAGAGCTCACCCCGTTGCATGGATCTCTGGCCTCGAACCCGTTTCATCACTTTTCCAGATCCACCACACCCCCTACATACATAAGCCACGAAGCTCATCTCTTCCCCAAAATACAAGAAGTCCCAAAGTGCATGGCCCCATTTTAGTCTCTCCCGCAACCTTCTGGGGAAGTGTGGAACCCTCCTGCCCTGCAAGAAACGGGGAGAGGCAGGGGGTGCCCGGAAACGCGTGGAGAGAGCCAGCCTTCGGGATAGCTGGGGGGCCCGCCGTTTTTTTCCTTGCCGATGCTTCCTCCACCAGGTTGCCTCTTCAATTGAGCCCTTTGGGGAAGCCATGGGAAGGCCCTGGTCCCTGGCATTCTGCCAGGCCGAGTTTCGGGAATGGGCCACCTGCAGCTGCTTCTGCTGGCTGCTCCTTGCTGTCTCCAGAGAAATCTCCACAGTGCCGTGCAGGAGGGCCCCAGTCTCCCCCCACTGAGCGGTGGCTACAAAGCGAAGCCCGTGGCTTGCAGTGGCCTGCTTCTTTTTGCACGTGTCTCTGGCTCAGGGAGAAGAGCATTGCTCAAAGGGGAAACTCTAAGGGAAACCAAAAACTCCCTGCACAAACAGGCTCTTTGTATCTGGGAGGTTTTGCCTCAGCTTCTGCAATGGAAAAATGGCCGGCTTGCCAACATGCAAGATTCTGGGCAAGGAACCAGGTCTCACAGCTGCCTCTGGAACAGAAGGGGAGGCCGGCCCAGGCTGCAGCCGTTGGAAGGAGCTGCGGGTGGCACAGGTGGAGGGAGAGCAGTAAAGCCGAGCGCTGCTGCGTCTCCCTGTGTTCAGGACAGGAAGGTCCCCCTCCACCCATCGCTGCCTATCAGAGCTCCGCCCGCTCCCTGGCCCAGCCGGAACCTCTGCTCAGCAGCCAGAAACGGGGGAGGGGGGAATTCAGCCCTGACGGCCCCTCTCCCCGGACTCTGCCTGCCGAGCACTCTGGCCTGGGCCAGCAGCCTCCAATCAGTCTGGCCGCCCTTTGGGCCCAGGATGAAGGCAGGCAGCCTCTGGCTTCTCAAGGGATCCCTGGATGACCACGGCTCAAAGTTGCCAGAAGTTGGACATCATATAAATGTCATCTATTCCCATTAAGATTTACTTTGTAAATGAGAACTGCAGGCTTTCCGGGAGAGCCTTGAAGGAGGGTCACATTTAGAGCAGAACTCGGCTGGGTGGGGGGGAGGCTAAACCAGCCACTGCTCCTGGGTTCCCATCCGGCATCATCAGGGGCTCCCCTGGGGCAGACCCCCCCCTCTCCCCCTTGGAGTGCCCCAGCCCCTTCCGCCTCCATCTTAGCTTGGGGTCCTCCTCTTTTGAGAGGGTCGCCCAGAGAGACTCCCCCCCCCCCACGTGCAAGAAAACAAGGAAGGAAACGGAGAAGCGGAGAGGCAGGGGAGGAGGGGGAGATGCTCCAGCTCCTCCGACTGACCGGCTGGGCAGGCCAGGCTGCATTTCCTCCCCACAGCAAGCTGGCTCCTGCTGGCTCTGGGTCGCCCCTTGGACTCTGACCAACGTTCCTTGGGTGTGCCTCGCTTCCCTGCCCACTGAGCAGGAGGCCTGGGAGGGCTGGGCAGCACTGGGGGCCGTCAGCCGGTGGGACCGGATCATTCTACTCACAGGTAACACAGGGAGCCAAACCAAACAAGCATCCCACATTAATTTTTCATTCCTCTGCAAGCACCTCAGATTTCCAGTAGGTAGGGCCAAATTATATTTATCTAGTGCCACCCAGGTGTATTGACACCTAAGAACAGGTTTGTCCACTTTCTTCCCCAAGGGGCTCACCATCCAAAAATAGAGCAGGAAAATAAACAGGTGAAGATTTGAAACAAAACATTTGTGGGGAAGGATACCAAAATAGACTCCGACTATCAACCTAGGAACCGGTTCCTGTCAGTCTCACTATAAAGTGAGGGTTTTTGTCTGCAGCGCTCCATCCCCACGTTCAGTGCTCTCATGAAAACCGGGCCTGTTTTGGTGAGGATTCTGCTCTGAGGGTCCGGCTGGGGAAAGGCAACTGGGGTGGGGGAGGCCCCGGTCAGGGAGCTGGACAGAGGGAGGGCGTTTTCCTCAGGTACAAGAGCTTTTAAAATGTGTCCAGCATCCGGTTAGGTATCAATCAAGATCATGGGCAGTAGGCAGACCAGGGTTGATTTTAACTTTCGTTTTTCGTGGCTTAGCATATTGTGCAAAGGCAAGGATATTTTAATGGCATTATAGAACTGTAGAAAAACGTTTCCCCGGGCCTCAAGCAGCGGCACCCGGAGCCCTTTTGTTGGACTGGGCGCTCCGGCTATGCCGGCTCCCCTACCTGGCAGAAGGAAGGCGGGGTTGGATTTGGCATGAAGCTTTCTCAGGACCACCGTCGCCTCCAGTAGCCCTGCTTGGGGTGGGGATTTCATGCGGCCCACGAGGCCTCCCCAAGGGATCGATTCAGCAGTTGCAGCGGAAGGACAAGGCAGGCGAGGATGGTCTGCAGGTAGGGATTCTTCTCTCCGATGCCTCATCATCCTAGTCAGAACAGCTCCGGCTGGAGACTACCCGTTGTTCACCCCCCTCAAGGGATCCGACCAAGGATCTTCTGGGGATTTTCCAGTGAATATGCACGTTCAAACGGAGACAACAGAAACTGGACCGAAAACTCATTGACTGTATGACTATGGCGCTCGTGAAAGCGCCCGTTCTCCTTTGGGCCCTTCGGGGCATCTTGGATCATGGCCCAGTGGGGAAGAAGCTGAAAGAAACCTTGGAGACACGTTGGCTGAGTTTTTTCACAGTCTTGATAATGAAATTAACACTCACCAACACAGTGCTGAATGAGAATCAAATAGACCAGGATGGTACAACACGCCCATTTACAGAAAACTAGCTAAGCTTAGAGAGTCGTCATAAAGTATGACTTAAATTGACCAAAGTATGCTGAATAATAGCATTGGGAAGGATCTTGGAGGTCTTAGACCCTATGCCATTCCAGACAAATATTTGTTTAATCTCTTTTTGAAAACAGTGTTGCAGCACCCACAACTTCCAGAGGCAAGCTGTTCCAAATGATCGTTCCTGCTTTCAGAAAATCTCTCCTTATTAGTCATCTCTCTCTTTAGTAACGTTTCACTCATTACTTCTTGTCCTGCCCTTTGCTGCTTTGGAGGGTAGTTGCCTCCCCCCCCCCCACTGCAAAAACCTCTGAAGTGGTGGAAGAAGATTGACCTCATCCAGTCCCTAGTCTTCCTCTTCATTCCTCTTCATTCTTCATGCCCCAGTTCTCTCAACTGTTCCTTGTCGGTTTAGCCTCTGTGCCCTTGATCACCTTCTCTGCCTTTCTAGGCGCTCAGGATCTTTGTTGCATCATGCTGACCAGAAGTGGACCCCGTCTTCCAAGCGAGGTCTCCCGGGGGCAATAGAAAGTGGCACCGTCGCTACTTGTGACCCTTCGGTGGATGCAGCCTAGGGTAGCACTGGCTTTCTTGGCAGCTGCAGCTTGGCACGGTGGGCTCATACTTAAGTGGTGATCCACTAGATAGAAGAACTAGATCCCGCCTCTCAGAGTTACTACTCCAGAACCTCCCGAGAGGAAGTGGGCCCCTCCCGGGGAGGGCGGATGGGGCTGCTCCCAGTCACCCGCAGCAGCACAGGCCCTTCTTGTCTGATCGCTTCTGCAGGAGTGGGCTCAACTCCCGGACCCCTCCCTCTGGCAAGGCCGCCCCACATACTGGGGGTGGGGAGTCCTGCAGGAACTGGGAGGAGTGGGCTCCCCTATCCAACAGTGCTGCTCTATATGGATCAGGTCTGGGGCCTGCGACTTGCTCCAGACAAATTGTAAATATGACTCTGAAAGAGTTTAATAACTGGAATAATTTCAAAATAAATGAGTAAAACCATTTTCCAAGCAAAACATCAATGCTAGAACAATGTTAATAATGAAATAATTTATTTTCTAACAGTTGAACAATACAGAAGTATACATATACACAGCAAGGTTGTCTAAAACATGTAATTTCTAAAAAGGCATGTGCTAACTGTGATAAAAAGCACCATTATATGGTCTTGACACCGGATTTGTAATGATGTGGTATTTACATTTGGAAACTGAATCCTCGCCCCCACCCTCCCTCCCCCTTTGCTGCCCCCTCTTAGGCTGTGTTAGAATTTGGAAGACTCCAGAACCAAATCAGAAGTTCAGAACTGCCAGTGTGTTGTTGTTCAGAGCGCCTATGCGACGACACAGGCGAACAGAGAAGAACAGCGCAAAACTAAAGCCAGAGATGCCTCAAGCAAGTCAACTTTGGGGCATGTCAGGAGGGAAGAGCAGATGGCAGCCAGAGAGAAAGAGACTGCTTAAGTGTCCTTCGCAGTTAAATCATAAAGAGGTTTGCTAAAATAATCTTGATACATACATTTTGTAGCATTAAAAGAAATTTCTTCTGCTCAATAATTTGGGATAACTATTATTTAAAACAAAAGCATCATTGATTCATAGCTGTACAATGAAGTTCAGGTAATCATAAAAGGAAAAATGCCACTTGTGTTAACAGGAAGGGAGGGGGGGGGAATCCAAGGATGCAACTTACTATTTTTAATTGGGGAGCAAATGCATAACCAGGTATGTAAAAGCAGTATTCGTCCCAATACAGTTAAGTGTCAAAACCTGAATTTGTGACCAAGGGGGGCAAAGGGACTCCGTGAGTCCCATTGTATTGCTGTACATCAGATGCCAAAATTGAATTAGGCAGTGAGCACTTAAAAAAAAGAACCCCCTCCCCCACTTCATCCCTCCCACCAGGGGACACAACAGGGCTCTCCCCTCCGGGCTGTGTTTGTAAACGTCACGGCAGAAATGGCGTTCTAAAGAGAAGCAGGAGAGACCTGGGTCCCTGGAAAGAGAGAAGGGCCCGTGGCGGGAACAAAGTGCTAAAATGGCAGTTGGCAGTGCACACCCTGCTAATGCCCAGAGCTCTGCAACCTTGTTTGTGGCACCTAATTACACATTTCAAATAAGTGCTTTGAATTTGAATCAAAAACAGGTATTCACACAAACCCTGGAAAAACAGTTCACAAGATGTGTCTATCAGCACCTTGAAAGCTCTGCTTTGTTAGAAAAATACACAGTAATAAAATTTCTGGGTGTTCAACACTCAGGAAAAGATTCACCAGGTAAAGACAATACTTTTGGGATATTTCAGATTGTCACCCTGACAGCCATGTTTATTTTGGATGAATAAGAGCACAAATTCTCAACTTCCATTTCCAACCAAGTATCCCCTGGGTTTGCTGTCTGCAAAAAAGTTGCTCAGTGCCGCAGTGTTTAGTGTGGTATTTTAAGCACACCCACGCACACCCACACAAACGTCCAGCTGTAAACACAGATAGAGAAACGCAGCTCCCCATGAATGATCTACAAAATTAATTTTCTGCAGCTTATCACACAATAATGAATGCTGGTGGATCAGTGAATAGGGCGGAAAGGCTGTGGCCACACCGGAATGTCGCCTTTGACGGCCCAGCCTCCACCTTAACAGGGCAGAGCCCAGTCCCTGCTGCCTGCACAATCGTTCCAGGGCAGCCCGGCCAGCCAGCCAGCGTAGGAAGCTCCGGCTCCTCTCCCTCCACAAGGCAACGGCTACACCTACACCGTTGCTGAGAAACATGGCCCAGGGCTACACAACCCTCCGGAGCGCTTGGGCAGGGTTCAGGCGGGACGGAGCCTGCAGGCGGTGGGGCAACTGTCTCAGGGATGGATCCAAGGGCAGCCCTCCCCAAGACGCTGGGAGGGGCCCTCAAAGCCTCTCGGATAAACTCATCTATTCATTTAGATGTTTTTGAAACATCAGAGATATAGCTTTAATCGAGCTTCTGAAATTAGTGCATCATCCTTTATGGAGTTGTAATTATTTTCTGTACCAACCACATTTTGAAAGGACCACATCCAGAAAGTGCAAAGCTCAATTACTGGTTCGCAATAAGGACAACAAAACGAAACTCCAAAGTACTTTACTAAAGAAGTTGCACCCTCCAAAGTCTACTTTCTCAAATGCACTATGGACATATCCACCACTTCCATTTATTCAGAGGGGGAGCCCTCCTGGCCAGGAGAGGTCTGAAGTAAACTGTGCCCAGTAACTCACGGAAGGCACAACAATAATTAAAAAGAAGAAAAAAGTAAGTTTGGTTACTTCTAAAGAAAAACATGCTCAAATACCTTCCAAATCAAAGGCTACTTTGAACTCTAAGATGACAACATGGAGTTGAATGTGAGAGGCAATTTTATGCAGCTCATTAACAAACTCAAAGGCCTCTGGCAAGGAACCTGTCCAAATCAAGGGGGTGCAAGCTGCAGGCTCAGTCTCCCTGGAGGGTTTTCCGCAGGGACTCCTAGATGCCAGCCAGCTGCTAAACTGACGCAGGAGGAAAGTCTCCAGCAAGGAAGTGGTCAGTGCGGGTCAGCTGACCACTGAGGATTCCAGCTCTTGTTTCGAGGCAGCTCCAAGACACCGAGATATGGAGCTCTTTAGCCATCCGCTAGCCCCACTTCCCATCTCAAAAACCAGCTTTCTTCAAATAAAATCCACTTCCATATTATTTGCTTGAGAATCTGGTAGTGGATACAAGCAAACATGGAATACATAGTAAAGCGCGCCACTTGCCACATAGCCCTTTGAGAGTGAAGTGACAGGAAGTTGGCTGGACTAGAGCCGGCCTGTAAGTGCTGGGGGAGAACTAGCTGCATACAAAGAATCCTTGTGAAAAGTCACTGGAAGCCCAGAAACTGGGCCGCCGCTCAAAGCAAAAAGGAGGAGAGGAAGTTTCATTAGACCTGGACATACAAAGTTTCCTAATCATCTATAAAAGCACAAAATCATAAGAATAGTACATCAGGTTGATATAAAAATGAATAAATACTATTTATAGACCACATTATGTACATTTGCATGTGCTCTACTCAGCTTAAATGAAAAGCGCTGCAGATGTCCAGGCGTGCAGAGACAGAGCAAAAAGGGGGCAGAGGAGAAGCAGCCCAACATCCCACATCCAAACCAAAACCACACACGGCACCATTGGGCGGCCTCCCAGAGAACGTCACGGGGTAAAAGAAGTGCTAGAATGCCAAGAGGGCAGCCATGGAATTCCTCGGAGGAAATCTCCTCAGCCATTCAGGGAAAGCTAGCGCAGCTAACTTGGTCGCTCAGAGTTATTGCTGAATTCTTAAGGAAACAGGTCGGACTAGTACCAAGTATACAAACGAGGCATCACAATTCATTTGTGCTAAAGGGGTTGAGATCAGCTTTGTTCATCTCTCTGAGGTAGAAAAAATTGTCCCAGAGACAAAAAGACTCAGCAGAGCCCGGAGAGCTGCTAGCAACGAAAGGAACACGCAGCTATCAATGCAAAGACGGCATCGCATCAAGACTGCCCAAGTGTTGCATTTGGTCACCTGACGTGAAAACATTGAGATCCTGGCAGCTGAGAGAGGAAACCCTCCCCAGCACAATTCCACTCGGCCGGCCCTTCTTCTGCCAAACTGAGTCTCTTTGGACACCTTTCTCCATCCTATTCCCAACCTCAGGGTTGGCTACTTTATTACTATAATGACTTGGGACATTTCAGAATGATTTTTTAACAGTGACTGGAAAGATTCACTGCACAATTCCCTAACCAGCACATGTTCTTCTTCCAAGCCTGTCGTATCATTTTTCTAACTTCTGCCTGCCGCTGGGATACAATGGATGTCAAAAAAAGTAGGGTTCCTTTTACAGTGGCCGTGCCTGACGACTAGTCTGGCTTCATATACAATCACCCTTGCCCCCTCCCCACCTTCACCCAGAGTATGAATTGCAGCACAGGCCCAAAACACGTATGTGGCTGTTACCACAGCCATATTCCGGGGGCTGCTAAGAATTCTGGCTGGAATGTTCAGTCTCACAGAGATGGATTTACGGCTAGAAAAGAGAAGCTAGTGGACGCCATCAGAAGTGCGCGCCAGGGAGGAACGTGTAACCCACAACACTATGCGCTGTTTTCAGACTTAGGCAAAGCAGATTTTGGTGATGTTGATGGTACAAGAAGTTTACGTGCAAGAGAACTGTGGAGCAGCCCCACATACTACCTAGCGAAATCCACGAAGGGAAGAGCCGTGGGCAGGGCAAGGGAGGGGAGGCGACTGGCTCCTTAGAGGCTGAGGCAGCCCTTAAGATGGTTCTGTGCCTTTATTCTCTGAATGCCAGCGCTCGAATAACCCTCGTCACTGCAGACGCTCTGCAAGCTGCCCCTCTCGTCAGAATCGCTCGGGGGGCTGCTGCTGCTGCTGCTGCTCCAGTCGAGGTCCCCGGTGAGATAGTCGGTGCTCTCCACGTCCACATCAATTTCTTCTACAACAGAAAGCCACGTCAGCCAGCCCAGGGGGCCTCTGGGGTGGGAGGGAGGGAGGGAGGGAGGAGGGGGCTGGTTTGGGAACGCGAAATGTAAGCAAGCCAGCAAACTCAGTAGAGCTTTTTGGCCCAGCAATTCATGCTGGAACTTGGAAGTGCGCACACGAGCACCCGTCAGCGCTTCCTCCTCACCTCTGTCTGAATCTGACCGTTCGGAGGACACGGTGGACCCCAGGCTGTCCATCCGTATGCGTTCAATGCCCAGTTTCTCCAGCTGCCTTTTCAGATGCCGCTGTTCTCGCTGCAACTGATCTATTTGGTGTATTGCTTTCCTGTCATAATCTTCAAGTTTCTGTGGGAGGAAAGAGGCAAGGGTGGGTCCCCGGACACGCAAGCCACACGCAAGCTCTCCTCAGAGGGTGGAGCTATTCGAGGGCAGCTAAGCTGCTTTTAGCCACCGTCTCTTCCTCTCTTGCCATCTCAGCTACGGTTCTTTTCACACCTTTTGAAGGACCCTGTGAGCTGGAATCTTTTGCCTCAGCCTGTCATGATCTACTTAAAAAGGTGTTCCGGGGCTTAAAGTCTGACTGAGTTCATCCAATAAGATACTAATGCTGACTGAAATGTCAAACAAAACATTTTTATTTTTTTCTCTCCATTAGAAGCGTGATAGCTTTAACTCACCTTTATGTGCAATTTAGCTTTTGTAAGTAAACTCAGTGTAGTATGTCTACTGGACTCTGGCCCGAGAGGCACCATCCCTTTAAGCTTCTCCAGACACAATCGCAGATGGGCACGCCTGTCAATGAAATATTGGTCACTGATAAACAGTTTATTCAGCAACACTGAATTCGGTAAAATGAGGATCCAGACGGCTGGGGGGGCATAAGGCTGACTCTGTAAACTGCTTAGAGAGGGCTGTGGAGCACCGTGAAGCGGTACGCAAGTGCTAGGCTATTGCTAATACAAGCTCTGCTTCTGAATCTGTGTTCTCTAATTAAGATTAAATATGACAATGCTTAAACACTGAATCACTTTTAACACTTGAAAGGTTGAAGTTAAAAGTGGTTCAATGTTTAAGCATGCGTTCTAGAAATTTATTAAACTTACATGCCGCCCATCTTCCCTGCAGATGACTCTAAGTGGCTTACAATCAATAAAAGCAACAATATGAAAGAAAACAATAAATAGCAACAGTAAAATTGGTTAAAAATTGACAAAGGAAGGAACAAGCTGCACACAGGGCGGACGGGGGCTCTTGTCTTACTCCACTGAGGATGTTCCTTTACCGTCTCATTTTTGAAGGCTACTATTCAAATCAACTTTGCCTCTGTTCTTCTAGGCAAGTTAACTAGTAGTTTAGCCAAGCTGTTATAATGGCCTAAGCCACTTCAGAATTCCACCTAGGTATTTATTTATAAAATTTATATGCTGTCCATCTCACTATCAAGTGACACTGGTGGAACAACATCAAGATGCACCAATGTTAAATACTAAATATTAAAAGACAAGAGGGAAGTGTAAATTCTTTCATGTCAAGTTATTTTACTTAAATACTAACAGCAGTACAAGTTTTCAAACCTAAAATAATAGCCTGCCATTGTTTCGAATTCTGGATTACACTGTAATGTTTATAAAACTTTCTTGTAATTCGGAGAATACTTTGGAACTCCATAATCTATGATTAAATTAGCCAAGTGGCTTATTCACATTGGAAAGCAATCTGAAGTAAGTTTTAAGAAGCATCCTAAAGAGAGGCAGATGTCACACCTCCAGAACCTCTAACAAGGGCAGGCATGGATACTGCCTCCATGCTGTTCATGTGACACCAATCCTGCAGGCATCCTTTCTTTTAAAAATCATAAGAAACACACAGAGCATCTCATGCAGGCATCAGGTTTCAAGAACATCCACATTGAATTTTGTTAATTGAAGAATGTTCTTTCTGCGCCAACTCAGAAAGCTCAAACTGCCCAAGGAGCTGCTGATCCAGTTCTACAGAGGAATTATCGAGTCTGTCATCTGCACCTCTATAACTGTCTGGTTTGGTTCTGCAACCCAACAGGACACAGACTTCAGAGGAGAATTCGGACTGCAGAAAAAACAATTACTACCAGCCTCCCTTCCATCAAGGACCTGTATCCTGCATGAGCCAAAAAGAGGGCTGTGAAAATATCTGCAGACCCCTCACATCCCGGACAGAAACTGTTTCAACTCCTTCCCTCAAAACAACGCTATAGAGCCCTGCACACCAGAACAACCAGACACAAGGACAGTTTCCCCCCGAAAGCCATCACTCTGCTAAACAAATAATTCCCACAACACCGTTCAACTATTACAAAGTCTGCACTACTATTAGTTAATCTTGTCATCACTCCTTATCACCCATCCCCTCCCACTTGTGACTGTAGGACTGTAACCTTGTCGCTTGTATCCTTATATGGACTCTTTCCTAGTATGATTTGATTGCTTATTGTACCCTATGACTATCATTAAGTGTTGTACTTTATGACTCTTGACGAATGTATCTTTTCTTTTATGTATACTGAGAGCATTTGCACCAAAGACAAATTCCTTGTGTGTCCAATCACACTTGGCCAATAAAAGAATTCTATTCTATTCTATTCTATTCTATTCTATTCTATTCTATTCTATTCTATTCTATTCTATTCTATTCTATTCTATTCTATTCTATTCTATCCTATCCTATCCTATCCTATCCCATCCTGAAAACACTCCTGACAAAAGAAGGACCCATATTCATCTGTAAATGTGTTAGAGAAACGCACGGGTTATTTCAATTCCTACTGATTCTAAGGGAGAAAATGAGGAACTGAATTTGAGAGCCGGCTGCATGACTTTGAAGTGAAGTTCAGAAGTTATTTTACTGGGTCCTGATTTTACTATTTAAACAATGGGTTTTACTTAATGCAATTAATAAATGTTCAGATAAGTTTACTAATCCTTAATGAAGATCATTTCTATAAAAAGTGCTTTATAATTTGTACTTTATTACATGTTTAACTGAGCAAGCAGAAGTAGCTTTATTTTTAAATTAGAAAATTTTATTAACAAAATCCCTAAAACCGATCCTTCAAACATAAAATTGGACCCATCCATGAAATATTTGTTAGAATAATGGAAAGTGGGCTGCCAATCATGAAATAAACCTATAATTAAAAGTTGAAGATACAGCTCAGGCTAATATTAATAGTTGGTTTAGCTATAGCCTTAAGGGTTGTGCCATAAATTCAAACATGTCCTCTCACTATTATTTCGTTTTTGTATTAAAAACAAAATGAATTCAAAAAGGATTTTAAATGAAACTTTCTAAAGAAAAAGAAACGCAAGCCGGATGAAAACTGAATCCACCTAATATTCTGTTTCCCCAGTAATCAGCCCAGCCAGGAAGCCCACACGCCGCATCCCGCATCTGATTCTCCGGGCAGAGGCACTGAAAGAGACGCCGCCAATAATGTCACAGGGCCTCATGAGTAGCAACGAAGGGCAGGGCGGCGGCTCTTAAGCTTTATCCTCCACCAGTCCAAATTGCTCAGGATTTCCTGTTTTATTTTCATTATCATCTGCAAAATTGGTTTTTATACCAACTTATTTCTAAGTGTTCAATAGTTTGAAAAAAAGATCCAGGAAAAGCACATTCCAGTCAATATACGCATGACGAACATTACATCCTGGATTCAAAGAATTTTGGTAGAAGTGTATGAGTTTGCATTTGTGGTTAAGTGCTAAATAAATATCCACTACCCAGCTGCCCTAAAGCTTATATTCTTATCTAGCAATCCAAGAAAAATATGCAAGTAATCTTTAACAAACACATTCAGATGAGAAACTAATGTCATAGACTGAGAGTCTTAAATTTAACTTTAGATTCCATTTGGGTCAACCAACACAGAGGAACAATTTTATATAGAAATGCTAAAGGCTAGTTTGCAACAGTCAACTTGGCTCTCTTCCTGAAGAGCCACACTCCAGACTGTTTAATATATAAACAAGTGTCAGTTTCTTTGAGTAGCAAGAATAGTCAAACCACAAACTCTTTCCTATGGTGAGGGATGCAGCAGGTCAGCTGGAAGCGCATACTGAAATTCTGACATGTCACTTCAGCATAGAATAGATCAAGGCTAGAAATAATTGCTACTAGCTCCTTCTCTTCTCTTAATACTGTCAGAACAGTAAAAATGGAAAGAATTTGGTTCCACTGTTTCTGTTTCCAGTGACAGAACATGCAGCATAAATGGCCCCTTTAAAAAGAAGTAACAATCAATATTGCAAAGGATTAAGACCCCAGAAATAAACATTTGTCAATTCTACTTAATGGAGATCAGCCAGAAAAACTAGATTTGCACTGTTGTAATTTGCTTCAACAAAGTATGCTATAATTTAAGGATGCTTTTACAATTTAAATATAAACTGTTTCTGAATGCTTACCTATTCTTCTCCATTTCATTATGTGTGGATCTTAAAGAGAAAAAAGAGGATCAATTAATTAGCAACTATGGAATAAACATGCATTGATAAAAACGAACTATACACAGTAATTTCTACCAAATTGCCACTGCTAATATTTACGTATATCTTGACATAAGGAGTTCGTGATGGCACTTTTCTCTCCCTTATTTCCCCGAAAAGAATCACTGGATAAGGTAGGTGGGCTGAGGGAGAAAGACCCAATTATCTACCGAGAGCGAGAATCACACTGGTGCTAATCCAATTTTTTAAGAAATTGTGGTCTTATTGCTCCTACAAAATTTTATAACTGTGAAGGATCACATTGGTTATTCCAGCTATACTACCCCCCCCCGCCCCCATTTACAAATAGGATAAACTTAGCAAGGCTTGTAGTATCTAAATTTACAATATTTCAAATGACAAATTAAGTGCAGACTCTTCTATCTTAGATTGTCATAGGACTGAACGAATCTATAGCCTCCCAATATTAATTGAAAATCCATCTCATGAACATTTAAACCATTTTTCCTTAAATTACTTTTGCTAATTACTATTATTAATAAAGATATGCTACTAACATATAACTGGAACATACTGCAGAAATTACCTCACTGCACTAAATGCCTCTCAAGATTTTATCTGTGCTGCTGCTGCTGAATGGTGACTGAGTAATTATGTAGAAAAACATTTTCTTAAGGCCAGCTGAACAACTCCCTGAATTTCCTAAGGTCCCTGAGGAAGAGAAGCAACCTGTTCTCCATAATGCCTGGTCATTGGCTGTGCTGGTAGGAATTTTGACTTCTCCCAACATATTCAAAACACCTGACAAACACCAAGACTGTTTCTAGTTTTGTACAATAGTATTTTACCTTGTATGAAGTTACTAATTTTGTAATTGGTTAAGGCTCTTGTACTATTAACAAAGCCCATAAGTTTTTTCTAAAGTCTAAATGGTTAGTTTTATCAAAGGACTCCAGGACTATGCACTTCAGTCTCAGCTCTTAGGAATTCCCAATCTTTTCATTAGAAGCCTTGTCTCATGGATGGCACCACAAAAACCGATTTAATCTGATCATTTGTTCATGGATTCTAGTAATAAGGAAAAAACCATTTCAGGAATGACTGAAGTGGGAGGAAGTTAAACTCTTTTCTAGCAAGATCGTAATTTCTCAGTTGCTTCCTTCCTGCTTAGCAGATGAACAGAAAAGTAGGAATAACTCTGAAGGCAAATAAGGTTACTGACAGTAGCAGTAAATTAGACATTGGCAACATTGGTTTACATGACACTAAATTGGGCCAAAAATTGGTCGAATGGTTTGGAGTTTAGTATCTGGCGCAAACTCTGTCCTTTGTCCTAAGCAGTGGATCACTGTGAGGCTCTGATATCCTCTATTTGTTGAGGACAATTGGGTTTTATTAGCCTCAATTTAATGTGTTGTGAGAATTGACCCAAGTAGGACTGAGCACAGGATAGAAAACACCAAAGATGGACCACAATTGCAAGCTTTTTTTCCCCTTTTTCTGGAAAATCTCCCCATTTTCAGTGCCTCAATGAAGTACAGATTCCCTCCTTAACCTGCTTTCAGGATTCACTGGAAAGGAGGGTGCCAGGACTTTGAAAAAGAGGAGACTTCCAAGAAGCCAAATATGAAATGACGCCTGTAATAATGGATGTTTTGTTCCCAACGGAGGCCGGTGACTCGTGAAGGGCTTTCCTGAAAGGGGGTCTCCGGAAGCCCCAGGAAGAATCCCATCCCGGCCTGACTGGAGCGAAAGCGAAAGAGGCCTCGGATCTCGGGGGCTCCGAGGAGGGTAGAGAGCCCGGGGGACCAAGCGCGTGAAGGGCCCGGCCACGACCGGGCGACCTCCGGCTTCCAGGCCCGTTTAAGGCTGGGCCAGGCCCGGGGAGGAGGGGGGAAAGCGGCCGGGACTTGTCCACGTAGTCAGCACCGGGCCGAGCCTGGAGCGGGGCTGAGAGGGCGGCCACTACGGCCGATCCCCGCCCCGCCAGTTGGGCCTCTCTGGGCCGGCCCTCCTCCCTCCGCCCCGGGGACCGCGGGAGGCGCAGCAGATTCCCGGCCCGGGGGACGGAGCACCCCGCACCCCCCCCCCGCCGCCTTACCTGCTGCCGCCGCCGCCGCCGCCTTTCTTGGGCCGGCTCCTCCGCTTGAAGGCCTCCCTCTCCTTGGCGCTGAAGGGCAGCAGGGAAGCGTAGCCGTGCTCGGCTTCTGCGGAGGAAACACGGCGGGGCCCTGAACAAGGCCGCCCCCCCCGCCGCCGCCGCCTTTGTCTCCGGCCCTCCCTCGCCTGCCGCCCCGGCTCAACGCGCCCCTCTCCCCCCACTGGGGCCCGGGCGGGGGCGGGGAGGGCCGCGGGAAGGGCCTCCCTGACGGAGCCGCTTTGTTCGCGGGGAGGGGGGGGCGGCCTACCTCGCTCGCGGCGCTCCAGGAACTCGGCCGCCTCCAGCAGCATCTGGATGTTCTCGCACACCTGCGCGGCGGCCGCCATTTTGCCGGCTTAGCCGGCTCGTCCTCTCGCTTCCCCGCAACGCCGCCGCCGCCGCCGCCGCCGCCGCCTCTGTTTACCCCACCTCAGCCTGACAGACTCGACGCGGCCAAGCCCGCCCCATGCGACCGCAGGCCAACCCGCTCCCCGCCCAAGCGCGGCCGCGATTGGGCGGCCGGCACTGCTTCCGCTTTCCCGTTTCTCTCATTGGCCCTAAGCGGAACAGAAAACACCACCAGCTCCGCCCCCCCCTTTGGTCCGGGCATTGGCTCGGTCGCTGGGAGGCGCTTCATCGCGATAATCGTATCGATTGATTGGACGAGCCCCGGGATGACGTTTCCTTCGACGGTTCCGTCGCTATTCTGCTTTGCCTGCAAGGGAAGCCTCATTGGCCAGCCACGGCGGAGCAACATCCCGTGGCGGCTGTCATAGGTCCGCACGGGTCTCGTAACTCCGTTCGGCCTTTGGATTGGTCAACGCCCCCAGGCGCCCCGCCCTGTTTATTGTGTTGGTTTCTGGGCTTGGCCCCACCCCCGGCCACGCGTTTGTTCCGTGGTCCCGCCCAACAAGGAAGTCAACATCGGGCCAGCGGGGAGCATGCGCACTGCTCGCCTCTTCCACCTCCAGGCCGAACGGCCTTCAAAGCCAGGGCGCCTCCTGCGGTCGGTTCCCGGCCTTGGATACAGCAAGACCAACCCTGGTGCGATTCAGTTGCAGGACTTCAACTCCCAGAATCCCCAAGACACGCACCTTAAAAAGCAGGATGGCTAGCAATTCTGGCCGTTTTAATCCACATAAGCAAAGCCTTGCCAATGCTTGTCCTCTGATCCCAAGGAGGCCCGTCTCACCTGCAGGAAACCACCACCCTGCTGGGTATGAAGACAGGCCCGCTGGGATTGCAGCGGAGGAGCAGGTGCCCCAAAGGAGGCCGCCTGGATGAACCTGGGCCTGGCGGGGCTCCCCCCCACACTTAAAAGGAAGGAACCGATCTGAGATTGAGGCCACCACTGCTGAAGGCAAAGCCCCAAAACAATACGTATGGAGAAAGTACATCATATTTACACCAATGCATCATTCATATATTTATTATAAATAAATATACAATTCCATGGGTGCTAAAATAATTATATAACTGGAAGTTCCAGCTTTATCTGTTCCCAGGTTTTCTCAAGGTGGTTCCACCTGCATACTCAGCCCATTTTAAAATGGGACTCTCACCTGTCTGCTTTATTTTTAGGACACCACAGAAGGTAAGAACTGAAGCAGCAGCTTCTGGGATGAGAAGCGAAACGTCTTCAAAGAAAAAAAACAGAACGTCCAGTTGCCTCTTGAAAAAAAGCACCTTTGGGACAACCAGGAGACCTGGATGAATCTCCATAGACAGAAGGTAAGAACAAAACTAAAAGGTTTTATTAAACAAAAGCACCCGTACAAATTACCCTTTAGCAACATTTCACATCCCAGTAGCCAAACAGCACCCAGAACGTCTTGTAGAGGCAACTGTCTGTTCTCAACCCTTACATCTGTTGGCTTCTAGGTTTGAGCGTGGGTGGAATAAATCCCATTACCAATCTAGGTCAAAGGAAGCTAAGCATTTGATTTTAATCTGGATTATACGTCTGCTGAATTAATTACTGAAGCAAACTTACTGTTCAATAACAACACACACACACAAAAAGGAACCCCATTTCTACACAGAATTAAATCCTGTTCCATAAACATGACTTCCTCTTGAGTATGCTTGCAACTGCAGCAGCATCAAGGATAAGTTTTGATTATGCCTTTGAGGAAACAAATCCATATTCTTCTGTCAACAATGCACACAGATACCTAAAAAGTAGATTCCTCACCATGGCACAAGCAGTGCGAAGTTCTGCATAGCTTCGGTCTGGATTGAAACATAGTGGAAGAGTCAGCAACCTGAGCACTGCCAGTCAGCTGGCGTGAGCTAGTCTGTCCCCTAAGGTGCACCAAGGATAGACCTGCAAGTGCCGAGTAGGATGAGCTGGCAGCCATTTAGGCCCTCAGGACCGCACTGTGTGTCTAGCAGGGGTAGATTTCCCTGACATTGTATGCCACATGCTAAATAAATAAATAAATAGTGGTTTGCAAATCACGCCCTGCCCCCAGCCCATTCCCATTCCAGTTAGTGCAACAGCAGTGCTGCTGGATTTTCATAATCATTCTTAAATTCTGCACTGAACACAGAGGCGATGTAATTATGCAAATCAAACATCCCAAACAATGCCAGTGAATTCTGGAAGAATTTAAGGGTATGATACAAAGGAGGGAAGCTCTTCAATCACTTGCTGGTTTGAGTGCCCCCTGCTGGACAGAGACAAAGAATACAGGATCTGAAGGAAGGTGGCTGAAGAAGCAAAGGAACAAGCCCCATCGTGCTAAGAACCAATTGGCTTCCAGGTGCCATTTAAAAAAAAATCAAGAATGGAAAAATTAAGTTCTGTAAACATTAACATATTTTAGGAACCAAATTATTATCAATTTTTGATTCCGTCTTTTAGAAAAGTTGGTCTAGTTCAACTTTACTCAAGGAGACAAGATGTTTCTTTTTTTAATTTAACTGACAATATTTAAAAGAGGAAACCTACAAATGTGGAATAGCAACATCAGAAAAACCACTCTGTGCAAAAGATACATTTGAAACAGGGAAAAAATTACCATCTCAGCCTAGGAAATGTAACTTCAAGGAATTATTCACAAAAACAACCCTAACCCTTTTGGGATGAGAAGACAGAACCTTCTCAGCCAGACAGACCAGACTTCAGTGGAGTTTGTTATCGGTAACAACTGCAGACACATCAGGCAATAAAGTCCAGGGGCCTGTTGAATCCACCTTTTCTGTTCATGTACTGCCTGCAACAAGAGAAATAAATAGGACCAAAGTTTTCCACAATATCCCACATTTCTAAAATTTCAATAGCATTTTTAAATGTCAATTTCAATATACCCAGATATAAACAAAATAGGTGTATGAAGCCTGATATACTTACTTATTGCAGTTAAAAAAACCTCAAACCACAAAAAGCTGCCTGCCTGTCTGTCTCTCTCTCACACATACACACATACTGATTTAAGTAATACCTGAAATAGCACCACAGTGCATGGGACAGATAAACCGGTAGGTTTGGGGAAATATAAAAATAGATCTTGGAGACAACTCCACTTCCAAATAACCATGTAAAGACTCCAAGCTGGCTAGTGGCCACATGAAACTATTCACCCACCGGATGGAAAACCAAGAACAGGGAAGCCTGAATGGTAGAAATTCTCCTGGGTCTCTTGCATGCTCTCAGTCCTCACAACACAGAAGTATCTGCCGGATGATAAGATGTTTTCATCAAATGACAAAAACAGTGTTGTGCTACTGCAACACAAAGGTTGTCCCTTGTGTATGTGTGCACGCAGGGCCTGATAAAAAATGTAAGAAGTCTCCTCAAAGCTATGCTTGTTTTTTAGATACACTTCATATAGAAGTAAAGCTTCAAGCACACCGTCATGGCTTTTGGCACTGCCCTGCGGATGCCCAGGTGTGATGTTACGATGCACTTACGAAAGAGGCATAGCTCACCCCCCCCCAGTGCAGCTGTCCTTCTGCTTGTGGATGCTTCTGCCAGAAAAGCAGCCCACACATCTAAGGTACCAAATAAAAGGGAGCCACGGATTGAGGCAGGTCGACAAAAGGAAGGCTAAAGGAGCTTGGGGGATTTTCTGTCTTTAAGTGCCAAAACATCTGGATTATCCTGAGACTTTGACCAAGTAGGTCACTGAATGCCTAGGCATAGGAAGACATATAAATGACCCCATACAAAAGGTACAAAAGGCTTTGAACTACCATGCCAGCAATGGACTGGGTTTGCAATAGGATTTGCAGCTCACACGGCGTCTGCTGGAACTCTCGGTATAGCATGGAACAGCATCCTGCCCTCAGTGTAACTGGAGGGCCCCACGTCAGACTGTAGACCACATTGTGATTGGGCTGTAAGCTGGGGGCATAGATCAGTCCAGTATCTGATTTTCTTTATCTAAAGGATGCTGCGCTTCAATGGTTAGATGGTCCAGACACTGTTTTTTTGAGCATAGGTTTTTTAATATTTATATTTTAAGGCCTTTTATTAATCTAGGTGAAATGCTAGCCCATGTAAGCCATATAGGCTAAATAGATACTTTGACTTGGGGAAATGAGTTTTCCTCGGTCTTCTTTTAGACAAAGGTATTTGGACCAGCTTTACAAATTAATTTTCATCATGGAATAATTATACCTGAATCTAAGGAAAGACACCTTAAATCAATTACTCTTAGCAGATACATTTATTGGACTGAATTCAGGAACTGGAGGCCGCACCCTGTTCCTTCCCACAAGAACAGTCCTGTAAGGTAGGTTTGGATGGGAGGGAGGGGCCGTCTCCAGGCCCTCCAGGAAGCCTCTATAATTGAGCGAAGACAAGAATCTGGGTCTCCCAACACCTTCACTATTACCCCTGGCTGTTCTAGAGCTAAGTAAGTCCATAGGGGATTCTCTTTCACAAAGCCAGAAATCCTTCGTTTCCAGAAAGAGTTAAGAAGGAACCCAACGCCACTTTGCAAAGGTTGTGTTGACCAAAGGATGCTGAGCAAAGAGGGTCCAGCACCTCCTCTGCTCAAGGACCAATCTGGGCAAGGGAATAAATGCCAACCTGTATTTCCGTTTCTGCGACACATTTACAGCATATGCGTTTACAGATCCGTCTACTTTTTTGCCCTGCAAGACAAAGGAAAAAAGCGATCCCTTTCAAACCACTGAAAGGAGGGCAACCGTCCTCTCACCAATTTCCTCCTGCACTGCTAGCCCAACATGTTTCATTCTGCATTACTCCCAGACTCAGCAGAAAGTTTACCACCTACTCGGAAACCAGAGAGCGATGGGCAGGCAGGCGGGCGAACTTGCTGATTCATCTCGGAGGAGAGAGGCACAATAATAATGCAATGAAATCACTATGTTTCAAGAAATATAGTCCCCTTTTCTGTTTCTTTAAGGACTTCAAGTGTTTGGAAGTCTGCCAACTGCCACAAAGCCACATTTAATTATTTCCAAAAGAAGAAAGTCCGATGGCTTTTCTGATCTCTTTCCTCAGGGCGTTGCTACCAAGGAACCTTGGGAATGAAACCCCCCTCTGTTAAAGAGATCCTAGAAGGACCCAAAGGAGAAAGACTAGATATGGATCTGACAGATAAAGAAAGAAAGAAAGAAAGAAAGAAAGAAAGAAAGAAAGAAAGAAAGGCTCACAAATGGAAAAATAACTGGAAGCAGTGGCATCCATATGGGTGTGTGTGTGTGTGTGTAAAAAGAGACCAGGTGACAGGGGCAAGGTATCGTGGGGCAAGCTCCACCCCTGTTGTGGTAGGTGATGTCCCACGCTCACCTCCTGCCACCACACTGTTGCATCCCCAGACTTGTGATATCGGAACAGAATAAGAGTTGGAAGGGACCTCGGAGGTCTTCTAATCCAACCCCGCTTGCTCAAGCAGGAAAACCTGTAGTGCCACCTTCTAGTTAATTGGCTTCCATCCACACCTTCTAGTTAATTGGTTCTCGCTGTCAGGAAATTTCTCCTTAGTTCTCGGTTGCTTCTCTCCTTGACTAGCTCCCATCCGTTGCTCCTTGTTCTGCCCTCAGGTGCCCTCTCTCACAGCAGGGTTTCTCAAAAGTTGACCTCAGCACTCACCAATTTTGTAACTTTTCTGTACAATGCAGACATCCTTCCACATCCTGCTTGCTGCTTGCCACTTTAACAGCAGATGTAGCTTACATACGCATTTTAAAGTTTCAGGGAAAAAAATCTGCTTGCCT